TGAATTACCTGCTGCCCTTTAATAGAAACTGGTGATGACCAAAATCATCCCAGAAACCATAACAGTTTTTCTTAAGGAATGGTTAGCTGCAAAACTACACTGAAGAGGCAATAAGAGGCAAACTAAATTCGTTCTGCTGTCATCATTAGGGGAGTCAACTTTCCAGTTCTGTGCTGATTAGATCAGTTAGCAGAAGCTCAGAAAAAGGAACATTAACCAAGTGCATCTGGAGCATCTCAGGGACAGGCAGAGACAGCCAAAAGGGATTTCTGAGTACTCATTGCCTACGAAATTTTGGAATCCCCTTAAACCTGCCATTCAAGTTAGGTCAAGATATGTGGGTTTAATCCTTTCACTCCCTCTAGCAAAGTACAAAGCACTTTGTCAACTCAGCACCGAGGCCAGGCCAGAAGATGTCTCGTTCTGCTAATGCAGCGAGGCTCATCTTCTGCACCTCCTGACAGAGGGCAGGACTTCCCTCGCACATGATTCTGCTCCCCATTCAAAACCAGCCTATTTCAGTGCTGATAAAGATGAAATTTAGATTCTCCAAGCTTTTTGTGTTAACAGGCACTACAGGTATAAAAATCTGGGCCAGTATCACACCAGTTTATGCTATAATAAGTAATGTCCTCTGGGATAACAGAACTTCCTCTGACCTGTAATTACCAGAACGACACCTGCCAGAGCAAGTCCACCCCTGGTTCACGCCTTCTGTGATTACCAATACCCGAAGTTTGTAAATGCACCAAAAAGATCATTGTTTATCCTCGACTGAATCCAGGACTGAAGTCTTGCAGTGCCTATAAGCACAGTGTACTCAATATAATTGACTGTCTTGCACCACGTTGCCTTGGAGACTAGCAGACAAAAAGCAGGTGGATGACCCATAGTCCAAAAATCCCTCTCCCTCACCAGAGGGTATTTCCCAAGAAAGCTCCAGAAGGAAAGATCAGACTCTACCTACAAATTCTCCTCTCTCTTACCCAGAAATAAATGTTGAATAGGACTGAGACCTCTATTTCTTTTCACAAAAGCTGTGACAGTTACAGACCGAGATCAGACTGTGCTGAGAACGTGCACGATGGGACGGGAGTATACGCTGCAGCGCTGACACGACCTGCATGCGCCAGCCTAGCAGATCAACTGCACTGACGAGCTCCAGCTTCCCCTGCTTACGCCAGGCCAAAGCAACAGCAGGGAGAAGGCTGCACCTCATCCCAGTGTGCTGGATCCCACTACTCAGCACCTGTTGTACATCGGTCAGTGGGGGGTGAGGAATTGTATCATATTGTATCATACTGTATCATATGTTTTATTTTATGTTGCTTTAATTATTTGTTATTAGTAGTACTTGTATATATTGATTTAGATTTAATTAGTAAATAGTTCTTATCTCAATTTTACGAGCTTCCTTATTTCTTTTTCCTCCAATCTGTCCCCTCCACTGGAGGAGGGGAGGGGGATTTGTGAGAGCGGCTTCGTGGTATTTTGCTAGCCGGAGTTAAACCACGACACCCAGCAAGCCACGCGGGGGTCCTGCAGACCCCCAGGTCAGAGACCCACAAAGCCCGATGACCATCTCTACTGCTGCTGCCCAGAGACAAACAGTTTGCAGCTCGGTACTACACCACGGACACATCTCCACCAAGACGCAGCGATCTCTGATGCACATCTGGAGGCTTCCAGTGGAAGCGCTCCATGAGCGGAGAATGAACTCTCCAAAGCAGCAAGGCAAACCCCACCGATGCAAGGAAACACTGTCATTAACAAGCTCACTTGCAGTACCCAGCTGTGAGTTTTCAACACAAGCCATCCCTCAAGAAAGGAATTTACACCTAGAGTGGCATCAGCACAGTGACTGTCCCCATGTTCTCACGGTCCCAGCAGAGCAGAAAGGGAAGCGCACCACTGCCAGCAGTGACCATTCCTCCCCAGCAGTACCTCTTGGTTGTGGTCAGCAGCCCCCAAAGGTCCACGCTGAGAGCTGAACCAAGTGCCCTCCGGTAGCCGGTACATGCCAAGGCATCAAAAATCTCTCTACTGGCGCTGGGCTGAAGACAGGAGTCAAATTCAAGCAGTTGGTTTTTATTCCGAGGTTCTTTCAGTAGGGTTGTCAAAGTCTACGTGAAAAACATTTGTCAGTCACTCAGAACATGGCCTTTGTAGTTGTGTTTTGGTTTTCTTTTTTTTACCCTGCACAAAGTAAACGATATTGTCAGAGAGAAATTAAAAGCGATGAATGTGGCTGATTGTATTCCCATCAAACGACAGGAGTCAAAAACTTTTGCTTCCAAGTACTTATCCACACACATTTCTTCAACAACTGCAGAAAGGCATCAAGATCTACCTGCAGAAGAGCTGAAGCACCTTTCTAGTTATGCCCCCCCTTCACCATTTGTATCAAAGACCATCTTGACCATATATTGACAACTGCCTAGCATTAGTCAGCAGGATGAATGTAAATATTTCCACTTCCCAAATCAAGAAATGAAATTAATCTAAAAATATTTTAATGTAGCAAGTTTGGCTATAGAACCAGTGCAACATAAAGAGGATACCCATTGTATAATCAACTTTACTGCTTAATCTTAACAGAGTAAGCTACAGATGCAACGGATTTACCACAAGTTATTTGGTTAAATTGAATACCGCATTTAGGATCATGCTGTTGGTAACCGTGGCTTTACAGTATCAGTGCTCAAGTTGGCTGAGTTAGTTTTACTGTAAGTAAAATGCAAGTTTACAGAGAAACCAAATAATTTAGTATAGTACGCTGTATTCTGTTTCATGCTCATTCACAATGATAACGTCTTCAACAGATAAACAATATTTCAGCATTATGCTAATAATGCCAAAACATACAGGAATTGTAATGCCAAATTTACAACATAATACAGTGCTTAACAAACAGATTTCTCAGGTATAGTGGCCAAGTGGAATGCTACACAAGACTGAGAAGCATCCAAGCACTACTCAGTGGATACGAAGTGAATCACGCTGACCGGAATGCTTCACCTTTCGATGGAATACTCAGTGGATACGAAGTGAATCACACTGACCGGAATGCTTTACCTTTCGATGGAATTGTTGTTCTAGAAGTTTGTGTCCCAAACTTAATGCAACGCAAAATGGATGTTGAACCCTTGCCTCACACGTGAAGCAAAAGCACTACATGTTATTTACAAACTTGAACCAGTAAAACCACTTGGAGAACAGAAGAACATTGTGAACACTTGACAAAGGCGGCAGAGTTTGATTACTGTGTTATTTGAACTAGAACGGCAATGAAGTTGTAAACAAACTTTCCAAACTAGATTAATGCATCTATTCTTAACTCAAGAATATTGTCATTTCAGCAACGAGTGATTTTTAAAGTTAAGGACACTGTTCTGGTTTTGTTTAAAGCCAAAGCAAATAAAATACATTTCTGGAAGCCGACAAATCATTTTTGTTCCCTATTAGCCTTCATTAACATCTCCACTATGTACTTCAGCAAAATTTTCAAAACCCCTGGTTTTATCCAATTCTGCCTCAACTCAAGTAGCTGGTAGCAAAGTTGAAGCAAATGCTACCAATACTTGAAAAATCCCTACTCAGAGTGGTCTGGTTTTCCACTACTGGGGATGAGATTAGACTGCTGGGATTGCTCTACACAGAAACCAAAACACTAAAGCATTATTTTTTAATTTTAAAAGAAAAACTTATTCAAAATTAAATAGGCTTTGCAAATACTCAAAGAAATATATAGGTAAATTAGATTTGAATCTGTCAATCACAGCAGTGTCCTCGCTCTTCCTCCCCCCACCCTCCAAACTAACAGCGTTGTCGAAGTGGCTGATGTCAAACTGATAAAATTAAATTTATTTCCATGAAGCCTGGCTACAAAACAAAAAAATGTTGTCCCTGCCGCATATATTTATCTTTCCTGCATTTTGCAATGAACTCGTGCAAGCATAAAGGGGGCTGTGTTGGTTTTTTTAAACAGGTGTAAGAGTTGTGCAAGACAAAACTGAACAAACTTTTGTTTTACTTCACAAAGATTTTATATTACCAACTCATTTCATAAGTAAAGGTGATAAAAAATAAATCCACAGGAATAAAAAAAAAACAAAACCAAACAACCCTGTAGTCAAACTGCTTTTTCAAGTATGCTTCTCCCCTCACGAAAGAACTGCGCTAGCCATACTACTGATTAAAACCCTTGTCACAATCATTAGGACTTAGACCATAGGTCCAGACCTCCTGGGCTCAGCTGGATCTCCAGCTGAGTTGACACAAGACTGGAAGCAGGAGGGCGATGGGTAGATGCACGTACTCCTCAACTCCCTGATTTCTAACTACATCCACTATCACCCCCCATCACATCCCCAAAACAGGAGAAATGGCACAGGAGCCACAGCAAACTTGGACAGGTACCACTGTTCGCTGATCGACCAGGCCGATGGAGATGCACTTCGCAGACCCACTAGACTGGAGAATTTTGCTTGCAATATTTCTACATAAAACACATCTCAGCATTTCATTCAGTCTGGAATTCACATCTCAATCTATTGCAATTATGGAAGCCAATGAAAAGTCAATGAGAGGGGTTCTACAAGAGTTGGTCCCAGCATTAAACACCAATACACATGAAAAATAAAAGGGGACAAACTTCCAAGTCATTATTAGTGATGGTGACAGATACCTCTTCTCTTCCTTCCTCCTTAAATTCACCTCCCATTAATGCAAGAGAAAAGTGCAACTTTGCAGCATGTTTGTTCACATCAAGTTTTTCCACAAGAACACATTTTGCAGTAACAAAATATGGTCTATAAAGTTGCAAAGTGCACAAGCTGAAGGCACAGAGTACAAACACATAGGAAAACAGATTTCAAAATACCAAAAAACAAACAAAGATATAAAAGAAAAATCTGGAATTTAAAACTCCCTGACAGAAGATACATTTATATGGGACCAACTCTTAAAAGGTGACAATTTTTAAACTAATGAACAAATACTGCAAAATAATGAAACTTTATTCTTATTATTAAAGTAAAAGCTCCAGAAAATACCTTGAAGTTTAAAAACTAATACACTGATGTATTAACTAGTTTTAAGAATGTCCTTAATATTAAGAAAAGAGTGCAAAAAAGATTCTTCCGTTCTAACGCTTTTGGAAGCTGCTGATTTTGGCTGCCTATTTCCACTTTGAAAGGATTGGTTTTCAAGGTGCATTCCTCACAAAAATCGCAGAACGTGTACTTGTTGAGAGGCCAGACCAAGGAATTACGTCTTTCAAAGTCATCCCAATTGTAGCAGCAACAGACTTTTTATTATATAAAGAAGAAAGTCCAAAACTCTTCTTTGAGGCATCGTTCTTGTCAGAGCTCGAGTATCAGCAGTTGCCAAAGGAGGCTCCGGATACCACCTGCGCTCCTCCAGTGTCTGTTCTGGCTAGGAATAGAAGCTGATCCAGTATGTTCACTATCTGTACCCCCTGGAGCTTGCACAAGCTGATGAACCATCTGAAATTACATAAAGTGTTCAAGAAATTTGCTCATATTAAACTTACACCTTATGTTCTTTGCCTCCCTTCCCCCAACAGCCCCAAACCCAGCGTTACACCGTTAACATTTTGCAGGCAAACAGAAGCTCATATGCCATGTAAACATCCAATCACCCATTCAGGTTCTAATAAGAGTTCATCATAAAACTATACAACACATTATGATGGGAAATAAAGCAAATATACTCAGCTGAAAGCACAGGAGGATACTTGGTGGATGGAATGCAACGAGGTGAGCTGAAGTTAACACCACCAGACAGATATATCCCCCAATCTCCAAGGCTATTTAATGACAATCAGGGCCTTGTACCAAAATCACAGAATCACAGAATCACGGAATGGTTTGGGTTGGAAGGGACCTTAAAGATCATCTAGTTCCAACCCCCCTGCCATGGGCAGGGACACCTTCCACTAGCCCAGGCTGCTCCAAGCCTCATCCAGCCTGGCCTTGAACACTTCCAGGGATGGGCCATCCACAGCTTCTCTGGGCAACCTGTCCCAGTGCTTCAACACCCTCTCCGGGAAGAACTTCATCCTGATATCTATTCTAAACCTCCCCGCTTTCAATTTAAACCCGTTACCCCTTGTCCTGTCACTACAGGCCCTTGGGAAAAGTTCCCCCCAGCTTCCTTGTAGCCTCTTCAGGTACTGGAAGGCTGCAGTAATGTCTCCCTGGAGCCTCCTCTTCTCCAGGCTGAACAAGCCCAATTCTCTCAGCCTTTCATCACAGCAGAGGTGCTCCAGCCCTCGGATCCCCTCCATGGCCTCCTCTGGACTCGCTCCAGCTGGTCTATATCCTACTGATGTGGAGGGCTCCACAGCTGGACGCAGCCCTCCAGGTGGGGTCTCACCAGAGCAGAGCAGAGGGGCAGATGTAGTCCCATACCTTCCTAACCTAGAAGGTATGGGACTACATTATCTCCTAGCCAAATATTTAGTCAGCACTGAAGATGGGACCTTTGACTGACTGGACCCAAATTGAGCTGTCTGGAGTAGAGCAACCACCTGAGAATGGAAATACCCTTCCTCTCTGCATCTCCTCCTCCACTCCCTAAACTACAGTAGGGGAAATTAAGGGAGTAACAAAGCAAAGAACCCTACAGTTAAACATGCAGCAAGAGGCTTCATCTACAAATGGAAGAGAACTTCCCTACTGCATGACTCCAACCTTTGTAGCCAAGTACTGTCTTTAGCATCTCATGCAGGTGGATCCCAAATAGTATTAGACACGTAATTGAGGGTTCAGAGTTGAAAAGCACAGCATTTCCAAACTCTCCATTCTGTCAATGGACAGAAAGACACATCACCAGTGGGTGATTTACATCAGACGTGGACTGGCTGACATTTCATTGCCTGTTACGTGTACCCTGACCAGGCAGAGACTCAGCACAGCTATGTTCTTTTGCCTCAAGACCTCAGCTTCTACTTAAATTGAGTGAAGTATCCCAGCTACCGAGATATCTTACTACTTTACTGGTGGCTGTGGGACTCTAGCAGTTAACCAGGCTGTAGATCCAAGAAGTTTGTACGATTACTCAGAAGGGCAGAGGTTACAGTGGCAGGCAGCTAGGTACACCTGGAGATGCAGCCTCAGACACCTCGCCACCCCCGAGAACCAAGAAGTCCACCACTACCTGTATGCCCAACCCACCAGGGCCTGCACCACACTGGAGGGCAGAGTTAGATGCATACTTACTGTAAGTCAGCTCTTCTCCAGCCCTCTTGCGTGACTGGTCACCTCTAGGAAAGAATGGGAAGAAAGGTCAGTTCATGATAACCTGACCTAATTGAAGCTGTCCCTGCCCATGGCAGTGGGGTTGGGGCGTATGACCTTTAAAAGGTCCCTTCCAACCCAAACCACTCGGATTTTAAAAAAGCGAAAGCAATAGTGGAATACCAAAGTCAAATCCTGTCTATCTGGAAAACATTTTTTCCTTTTATTCTTGTGCACACGAACTCTTAAAGCTGGAAAATCTGTCTGCTTCACAAGTTTCTTGTCATGATAGATATGCAATTGATACTGTCATAAGGGAGAGAGATCCCAATATATTTTCATCACAGCGGTTATAAACTTCACATTTTATCTGCTGGGAACTGGTAGAAATTGCCTTTTTTTCTAACAATACAAAGTGTTCTTCCCTGAAACCACTCTTAAAGGTGATGGACCTGCTGCGTATGCCTTGATTTAAGTCTTTCACAAGAGAAACACTGCCAGGCAACTGGCTTGTATCCCCACTTTCTGCTGCAACAGTATTTAATAGTGTTGATGAGCCAATTATTTCAACTAGAACCTGACACGCCATTAATGCTGCTGAAGACACCTCACTGAGCTGTGTCCCTCGTGGTTACTGTTGTAGGAAATGGAGCAGCAAACCATCACTGTTTTCTGGTGCAATTAGAGGCTGACATTTCATACGAACCCAGGAGAGAACAGACTTGGCACACGACTTGGTAAAAGGGAAAAACAACCCTTTTATAGATACAAATATATACACCTATATGTGTAGGAATATAACCTCAGAACAAATCTGAAAAGTTAAATATAACCTATGTTCATAACACAGGAAGAAGCACATTATATCTTGAAATACATGCATTTCAAACATCACTGCAAAATGCCATGTAGTAAATATATTACCTGTACTTCAGTTTTCTTTTACCCGTGTCCTTTTAGTAAGGACAGACTCTTAACACTTTATATAACCTCCATGTTTACCTGACTGCACTGACTACCTGACAGTACAACCACATAAGGTACACTGTGCAAAACATTCATCAGAGACAAAATGCTATCAATCAGTCATTCCACTGCAAAATTTGATTTTGCATTTTTATTTAATAAATTGAAAGCAAGCTACACAGAAACAGCAGTTCCAAAAAGCATGGGCTAGGGTGGGCCAATTTTCTAAATCTACAAGGCATATCAATACTCTTCACATCTCTAGTACCCTGAAGATCCCATACTGCAGAAAAACAAAAGGAAGACGAACTCTTAGAAATTAAACTCTGCAAACAATATGTGACACAGAAATCTTTACTTCTTCTTTGCATGACTACCTTCTTTGTGCCCACCCATCACACAGGACAGTCAGTTTCCTAGGGATTTGCCTTTGTTCCAGTGCTAGAGAACTACTTTTCTGCACAAAACAGGAGTTGCTAAAATATATTCGGAGGATCCCACCAAGTCTCTAACAGGAGAGCGCCACAGAGGGATCTGGCCTTTGCAATGGTCAGCATCCTTATTCCTACTGCCCTCCCTTCCCCTTGATACACTCTCCTCCTCAACAGTACCAGACAAAGCGCTCTGCAGCCAAGCTGACAAGCCTGTCTTATTTTCAGGTACCTAGGGAAAAATGGTTTTGAAACCAACTGGTTTTGTGGATACTGACTGTTACTACTTCAAACTTCATTTTTAATTCTCCGTGAAGTGTGCAACTGGGGAAATACATAAGCAGAACTATTACACGCCACCTACAGAATTAGTAAGATTGAAAGTTGGACAAAACTAAAATGTTCCTGTTTGGTTTTGTTCTGTGCATTACATTCTTTTGTCAGCCTCATATACTTACTCAGTTTCCAAGTCTCAAAACTACTTCCTGTGCCAAATGCACTGCTATTCTCAGCCCAAGCCCTTATGGCTTTAAGTGTCTTAACTCGTGCATATCTATCAAAAACATTCTTTTCCTCAACAGAAAACCTTACAAGGAGTGACTCTACAATACCACTTGCTTTTGGGTCAGTAATAGAGGTGAAGCTCAATAATTTACCAAGCTTTGAAGAAGAACTTCAAGGAAACATACAAAAGAGTATGAAATCCAGGAGTACATCTAACACTGAACATACTTGCATCTAGTGTGTGTTCAACCTACAGGATGAGATTCTCAGTGTTGCACAGGTGACAGGAAAGATGAAGACGTATTCTCTTCATACATTAATGAATCTCTCAGGACCAGAGCTCGCTAGCTTCCCCAGCCTGATCTTGGTTGGTCAGACTACTGCAAAAGTGCTACCCTGCTGTGGTGAAAGCACTGTGCTTCTGCCTCTGCAGTTAAATAGAAGAGCAGAGAGCGACAGGCACAGCCCAGAGGGAACAATATAGCTTATGAAAATGTCTCTTTTACTGTTTGTTCACACACCCCGCCCCCAATTCAATACTCAGAAGAACATTGCCTATTTAGAACAGCCACCCTGACTGTAAAAATAGCTGCGAAAGTGGAATAAGGAGAAGTCATCAACTGACATTTTCAGAAGCATCGGGGAAAAAAAGTCAACTTATAGAAAATAAATGGCCAAAGTAAAGGCTGAACACGAGCACGATCGTGCATTAGAAGCATGATCAAAACACAGGGAAGCATGACCTGTAAGCAATCTGTTTCATGAAAATATTTCAAGACTTCTGATCATCTATTTTTTGGTCCCATCTGCAGGGTTGGCAGCACTCAAAACCTGTGGAAATTAAGCCCATATTGTTGTGAAGTTTCTTGAATAACTCTTATTTTCTTAGTATTTTTAGATATATCCATTTTTACCATTTTAGCATCGTCCAGCACAATTATTACTGAAGACTAATAATTATTACCTAGTAAATCCATTCTGCATAAGCTCTCTTTGAAGCTTCTGGTCTTGAGCAGCATATTCCTGAAGCTCAGATTCCACAGCAGGGGGGAGAATATTTGGGATGAATTTAGAAAATAAAGCTGGTGCCATCTGTACCCATTCTGTAAGAAGAGGGAAAGCAACACCACAACACATGGAAAAGAACTTTTGTGAAACTTTACTCTTTGACATATGTAACTTTGCTCTCTTTTAAATGTTGTTTAAAAACAATGAAAACCCCCAAACCCACCGAGACTTAAAGCAAAACAAATAATCAGACTTTTTAAATCAAATGTTTACATGTAGATAAAGGAATTACTATTTTTTTTTTGGTCAACCACCTCATCGTGAAACTGAAATTCAGTTCTTGCTGTATGACACAGGTCTCTGGGCACTCCCAAGGACAGGCTCTGACGATCAGCAAACTCACTTTGATAATCAGAGCATTTGTAACACTTTGCTCTGGGAAGCATATTCACAGAATTTACACCTTTCTTCCCTTACTTCTAGAAAGCACAGTAATATCACCATAAAACCCTGCTTCTCCATCCCCCATCTGAAATGGATTAATGCAATTCTCACTGATCTTCCAAAGCCCAGGTGAACACTTTTTAATGTTCATTATGTAGTTTTAACCTGTATTAGTTCAGCTTCAGGAGAGAAATGTGATTTAATTTCACTATGCTGAACACTGCCTTAAAGAAGCAAGGCAGTTTCCCTTAAAGCTGCTTTAAGGCTGATGATAAGAAATGCAGACGACTGAGCAAAAGATGAAAGTTGGGTTTACAGCAAGTGTGTTAAAAGTTCTAAGAAAAATAAATACTCCTCGAGTATTTCTGAAGCCAGACTTTCCAGAGATTGTAGCAGTTTTCTTAAATCTTATCATGGAAAAAAGGGTATGCTTTTACATATATTCACTAAGGGACATCACGAGTTTTTAATCTAATTCCCACATATGGTTACTTGGTCTATGCCAAGCTTCAACAGCCTTTACTTTAATTAGTAAACTCACTAGATAATCATTACTAGTGTACTACTGGTACTAGTACCACCAGTAGTGCTATTACTCGTACTACTAGGTGGTTTAAACAAAAAAAAAATGCAATAACCTCCCTCATGATAGAGCATTTAGGTTGGAAAAAAACTTTGAGACCAACTATTAATCCAGCACTGCCCAGCCCACCACGAAACCATGTCCCTCAGCACCTCATCTACAGGTCTCTTAAATCCTCTCAGGGATGGTGACTCCACCACCCCCCTGGGCAGCCCCTTCGGTGAAAACGTTTACCCTAATATCCAATCTAAACCTCCCCTGGCACAACTTGAGGCTGTTTCCTCTTGTCCCATCACTTGTCACTTGGGAGACGAGACCGACCACTGCCTCCCTGCACCCTCCTTTCAGGGAGCTGTAGAGAGCGATAAGGTCTCCCCTGAGCCTCCTCTTCTCCAGGCTGAACACCCCCAGCTCCCTCAGCTGCTCCTCACAGGAATTGTCCTCCAGACACTTCCCCAGCTCCGTTCCCTTCTCCAGACACGCTCCAGCCCCTCAGTGTCTTTCTTGCAGTGAGGGGCCCAAAACTGACCACAGGATTTGAGGTGCGGCCTCACCAGTGCCCAGTACAGGGGAGCAATCCCTCCCCTGGTCCTGCTGGCCACACTCTTCATGATGCAGGCCAGGATGCCACTGGCCCTCTTGGCCACCTGGGCACATGCCAGCTCATACTCAGCCACTGTCAACCAATACCCCCAGGTCCTTTTTTCCACCAGGCAGCTTTCCAGCCCTTCGTTCCAAGCCTAAAGCGTTGCAAGCAGTTGTTACGGCCCAAGGGCAGGACCCAGCACTTGGCCTTGTTGAACCTCACACAGTGTCATTGGCCCATCGATCCAGCCTGTCCAGATCCCTCTAGCAAGAGCTAGTTTTTTACCCAGGGAAGAATACACCTGTCCAAGCCATAGGCAGCCAGTGTCTCCAGGAGAGTGCTGTGGGAAACGGTGTCAGAAGCTTTAGTAACATCCAGGTAGACAAGATCCACAACCTGTCTCTCATCCACTAAGCAGGTCACGTGTCATAGAAGATGAGGTTCGTCAGGCAGGACCTGCCTTTCATAACCCACTGCTGACTGGGCCTGATCATCTGGTTGTCCGGTACGTGCCATGTGATGGCCCTCAAGACGATCTGCTCCATAACCTATCCTGGCACTGAGGTCAGATTGACAGGCCTGCAGTTCCTCAGATCCCACAGATCACAGCAGCACTCGATTCAAAACTAACAAAAACAACCCCACAACACAAAACTATACAGATGTGAAATGTCACTCTTCATCTTATGAAATACAATAAAAACGTACCACACAGAACATGGTACCTCCTACAAACCTACTGCTACTGAATGATCTAGCCAAGCTAATGAACTGATTTGGAGTTCACAACATGAAATACTGTTGTAGGGTATTTTATGCAACTGCTAGATCATTATAGATGAGGTGAAAAGAGTATTTCAGATTAAAACTAAGTGGGCCAGCCAGCAGCCTCAGCACCTGCCCAGGCTTCAGCCTTTTCTATTGTGGCCACCACGTGCTGGAGCTGGAATTAGAAGACAGTCTTTTCTGGAAATATTTGAAGCCAAACAACTGTCAAGTACTTTCAACTTGAAGTAAAAGAAGAGAAAGAGAAAGCCCATGGCCACTAGCCACACCAGCATGGCTCCTCCTTTTACTCTATGCACTGCCTAAACAGACACTTCCCAGTGTTGCCCTAATGCCCCAGCTCCTCCCACTGGCCACGTTCACTGCTTCACTTCCCCAGTCATCTGCTCCCAGTCCCCCTGATACACCCAATGAGGCATGTTCCACAGGATGTTAAAAGTACTACCTCAGAGGATCTCCTGCCCTGATTGTTTCAGAATGAATCTTCAAGAACCAGCACCCCCAAAGAAGAGCACTTTACATCATGAGTCTATTTTGTGCTCTTCTGGTTGGAATGATATTCAAGTTCCTCATTTTCTCAGAGGCTGAGAAGTTGGAGGAGCAGGTAATTAGAGCAAATGAGTATCTGTTTAAGCAACAGCTTAAAGTCAATCACCTGTGCCTCCGTACCCAGCTGTGGAGAGCAAGTATCACATACTGTAGGAATAAATATTCTTATACTTAAAGATCTTACAGACATAAGACAATGATTCAAAATCTGATTAGGCCCATGATTCCAACCCAAACCAGTTATCTGTTGTGTTATGAAGTAGAGAGCAAGACAGGGATTGTCTGAAACGCATAACTGGGAAACCACAAGTCCATCATCTACAATATTAAGTGCAGTATAACAAAATCATCCTGAGCTACTTTCAGAAGAATTATACTTTTCTACTTATGCATATACCCTTCCTTTCTTTAATACTGAACAGTTTCTAAAAAATGATGGTAAGATGTTAGTTTTGCTGTTGTAAAAATAATCCTTGCTTACTGAAAGTGTTTTATCCATGTATTTTGTAAACGGAGAGTCCACCACATTTCTAGCATGTACACCTGCTAAACAATGAAATAACACCAGCCAAATGATGGCTTCATAGAAAAAAATAGTTATTCATCTCATGTCAAAGATCAGGCTGTTCAAAGCATGTCTCACAATCTAACTTTCACTGTTTCAACACTTCTAAAATTCTGCCTGACTGAATCATAAACCAGTCGCCTGTCTTTGTTTCTACACAGCAAAATAAACAGGCCTTGCCTCTGTCTCCAGAGCAGAGGGTTGGGTTGGTTTTTTAAAATGAATTTGGTGTTCACACGGTGCCTTGTGCAGGTCACAGAGCTGGGCAACAAGAAAAGCCAGGGCCTTTGCACAGTAGAACTAAGCATTCTAATGGACAGAACACAAACACTTTTGTTTGTTAAACGTGCCTTAGATTGACAGTGATCGCCTACGTAGGTAGGAAAACATCACAACCACAGTATGGAGACTCCTAGAAACACTTTCCCTTTTTACCTGGTCGTAGTGTATACAGGCCTTTCACAATATTTGCCATGGTTGAAGGAGTTATTTGAAACGGCGTTGACTGAGCTTCCAAAAGTAAAGCTGAAATAAAATTAAGAGAATTAGTTATTTTTCTGATCAAGAAAACAGGTTCTTACACATTTTGTATCGAAGAAATACAGTAGTTGTGCTTTCTTTTTTATCTGATCTCCTCACAAAGGAAACAGCCAGGCACCTGACTGACAACTTAGTTTTCAAGAGTAATAAAGCATCACCTTTTAATAGAAGTATTCCGTTCAAATTATGCATGATGAAAATGTGAAGTAACTTATTTTTCACCCGTTTTCAGACAGGCAGCAGGAGTTCTCAGGGAAAACCAAGCAAGTGATGGCTCTAAGTATTCAGATGCAGAACTGAAGTAAACAATTTATTTTTAGAAGCACTCATATCCTGAGTGTGCTAAACACCTGGAGATCCACAAATCCTCGCTTTACAGTACTTAGCATCTTGTCCCTAAAACTAAGGCTGGATTGAAAGTCTATGAATAAAGGACAAGTAGTATAAAAAAAGTAAAAATCAAAGAGGAAAAGTTGTTTGCTCTTTTAAACACAAGTGAACATTTCTATTTCATTTTTGGCCTCTTCAGTAGTAAACACTGTAATAATGGCATCTTCCTCTTGTGGAAAAACCTGGCAATAGCAGATTTACTGCTTGTATCACAGTCGTGAGGCTGTTAGTCTGCCTTCTATTTATTTAAGGTTTGTATATCCACCTGAATTACAGAAAAAAAAAATGCAAAGAAAAAAATTAAACAATAAAAAAGCCTTTCAGCTTTTATGCCTCTACAAAGGAGTTGAGCAGTAAAAACACCTTTCTGTACCTACTATGTAGAGGATAAATGATTCTTACAGTTCCACCTAAAAGGCATCTCTCTCGTGCTTACATCGTAGAGACTGTTTTTTAAACTTCAAAGCTTCCCTGGTTCCATCTTCAGCATCTACCACTATAGTACTTACCATGAAAGAAAAATCTTTGGTAGCATGTTATTCTCTTTGTGAAACTGTTTAAGGGGCTCAAGTAATAGGAAGATTAAAAGAAAAAGTATTTTTTCTAGCCTCCAAGTAATCAAAGCAGTTATATTTAACAGTTATAGATGAATTTATTTTACAAAGAACCATCTTAAAAGTGCTTACTCCTTTCAGCTGAAGCCTTGAGGGGGTGAGAGCCTGTGATTTGTTTTATAATGACATATTTACAGCCTCTTTCCAGAAGATTTTTCAAACAGCCTCTTGGCAGCCAAGAAAGTTGCAAATCATAACATTAAAAAGGGGATTATGCTTTATAATGAAGATCTGGAGCCAGTAATGCACAATCCACCCAATGTGTGTGTATACATGTATATGTAATCAGACTGTAGCTACTTCAGCATAAGCTTCAACGATGTATTTGTAAAGTGTCCAGAGAATTCTGAATTTGTTCTTCATATGTAGACATCAAATTAACTTCCAAAGCTACGTATAACAAATTATTTCAAACAGAATAACCCTAAAAATTAATACTGGCCTAAAGACCAAAGTCCAGAGTAAAGTAATTTGAACATTTTAATAGATATTAAGAAGTAATTCAATTAACAAAGAGTTTCTTGATTTTTTTCCTGATAAGCTGAAGACCAAAGTCCAGAGTAAAGTAATATGAACATTTTAATAGATATTAAGATGTAATTCAATTAATAAAGAGAGCTTCTTGGTTTTATTCCTGATAAACCAAAAACTGTGCTTTCCAGTAGCATCCAAGTTAAAATTAGCAAGGGCAATTTAAAAATATACCAGAAGCTAGTTTATATAACTGTATGTGTCCAGGGCATACCGTGGAAGACAGAAGAGCTATCCCGAGTAGCTTTGAGGACAAATCCAAGCATTAACAGCAGATGCCCACAACTACATAACAAACTGGAGGGCATCTGACTACTCGGGTATCTCTGAGTAAATGGAATATTGCAGATCACACTTAACTCCACCTATGGATGAAATCTGAAATAGAAGCACACAGCCGTATGGACTGTCTAACGAAATCCCCACGGGACTCCCTTAACATGCTCAAGGGGCTGAGCAACAGAATGATTTGTACAAGCAATAGTTTAAGAGGATAGTCCACATCTTGAGTATAGTTCACCATCCTAAAGATGCAATATTGTTACTTTAAGGTAGAATTCACCTATAAAGCTCACTTTGATCGTGATCCTTTCAGATAACATGAACAGATGTATTTGCAACATAATGCAAGTAAAATGAGCAGCCACTTGTTTCTGTTTTAGATTACTGACCACATCACCTGGCATTAAAAGAGATTGTATGAATAAAATCAGTGGAAGAATTCACCTGGAGATCAATCCTATAGAAATATCCTCTTTATATCACTATTGCATCTTTAGAAACCAACATTTCTGATCTTTGTTTCTGCAACTGCTTACACTACAAGATACAATGCAAATTTAAATAGCTCGCTCCTGAGTCACAGTCAGTAAATACAAGCGTGATGGTATTCTATTCAACAACAATGTAACTTAGTAATGGCATATATTTCCTGTTTCTCAATAAAGAAAACTAAAAGAAATACTACTCTTTAAACCATACAAACAGCCCAGCCTACACCTTTTCCAAAAGCTAGACAGCAATACCAGCAGAATGAATAGCACTGCCGTACGATACAGGTTTTCAGAATGTTTTCCGTAAGAGTGATCAAGAGTCCTCTCTTTGGATAGACCTGAAAAATCTCAATGCAGGTTTATAGACAAAGATGTAAAGAGATAAAAGATGTGAAGCTTCTTTGTGCACAAATTCATCTCCAGTTTTCCAATGAAACCTACCTGAACATTCAATCCCGTATTACCTTGTAAGTGAGGGTCACTCAAACTCAAGGAATGCAAACAGCTGTGCCGGACACGCTGGAGTCATCTCTGTTATTTTACAATCTTACAAAAGATCTTTAAATATTAAGGCTTTGACCCTTGCTTTATCAGAATAATTAATGAGACTCTACAACCCAGAAGTGGCACAGACTCCTACCTACTCCCAGAAGCTCCACCTGCAGCATTTACAAAGACAGGGCAGGGTAAGGCAGAACAAAACTAACCCTCAGATGCACAACAGTGGTAATGACACGTCGACACTATCTGGTCCCCTCCACGGTGTTTATGAACTAATCCTGCATTTTGCATAACCAATATGCAGAGAAGTTAATTAACCTGCAAACAGCCTTGAATATAACTCATGGCAGAATCAAAGAAGTGTGGGTTCCCATGATGAAATGCTTTAATTGCAGAGGAGGACAAGGTGCTCTGAAACACTGTTCAACTGAGGTAAGACACAACAGCCAGAACGGCCTCGGGATTTCTCTGGGGAATGGTGGATGAACTATATGGAGTCTGTGAGGTACGAACCTGCAGCACCCCGGGCACCCTGCAGTAACCAAGTCACTCCATTCTGCACAGGGATCCTGAAGAAGCCAGTCCCTCGATGAAGGTGTAAGCTGTTTCCTACTTACAGCGGTACTTGGGGCAAGACCCAGGACCCTGGTAATTCCAGGAGTAGCTGATGATACAAGTTCAAACTCACTTGTTCCGAACTCAAGATTCGCTTGCGAAAACTAAGAATTAGCTACTCTAAAAATCTTTTCAAAAGAAAGTTAAAGGACAGAAAAATAGATGTATTTGGCTTGGCAAAGATGTACTTTTGCTGGTAGAAGAGCGAAACCTGCGCATGTTAGTGCACGAGACTTTTTTCCTCCCTTTGCAATAATCTACCAGAACTTCAAAGTCAGATATTTTAACAAATCACACATAAGTATGGCTTAGGCAGACGTATTCAAAGCTGTAATTATTCAACAATGCACTTAAAAGAAATCATAAAGCGTATTCCCATTAAAAGCAACTGCAACAGCTTCCACAACTAAGGCATCAGCCAGCTGTTGCTCTCCAGCCTTCAACAGAAGCAGAACTGTGGCTTAAAAAAGCCAAAGTAAAACAAATGGATTCCCGAGCTCTTTATCCATCCCATCATACCAACTGTGCTCTTTCATACTTAATTCCAATATATAAGCAGTATTTATACTGTCTTGCAGAATAACAACCTTGGCCCTTACACAACTGTGTGAAATACCGTAACGATGGAGCCATTCCCAGCGCACAGGCTAAACAAACCTTACCAGCACAGGCTTCCCTGGCAGCTCTGCCCTTTAGGAATATCGCCACATCACGTGTCAGGTCCATCTGACCACACATACCCTTCTACTTCATGGTGATAACCTGAACCTGGTTCCTGTATCTTTATGCCCAAATTCAGTCCATGCAAAGCACCTGCCCGAAGCCCACGAGCCAACGGCCATTAAAGCTCCAAGATGTGGCTGGAGCTTTTTGCTGGTGGTGGGTTGGGTTGAGGTTTTTTGGGGCGTTGGGTTTGGGTTTTTCTTGTTCGGGGTTTCGCTTTTGGGTTTGGTTTGGTTTTTTTCCTCCTGCCTATTTTATTATTAAATTGACTGATGAAGTTTGATCCCATATTACCGTTTCCTTACTTTAACTCAGGTACAATTTGTACATGTTAACTATCAATCTAGAACTTCAAAAGCCTTTTGCACGAAAACAGACCTTCCCTCTGCCTTAACTCTCACATTTGCAGTTACCTAAACCTCTTTGTGATTCTGCATATTTATTTGCTTCTAAACAGAACTAAAAATAAATTCTTTGCAAGTTAAATTCTTCAAAAGTTTGTAATGACTTAAAATGTAGGTTAGAAAAAAACCAACATTAAAAAGTTGCATTTGTTACTAAGCGTTTGCCTCTAGGCATTTAATGAAGCCACAGATTACTTCTGAAATATTCATTATATAGCCCAAAAGCTTTATTAAGTATCTCATAAAAATGCTACAGAATAAAAATTCCAAGTCTTAATCACATGGAAATATTCAGTGCTGTAACAAGAATAAATATGAAAAACAAAGCCATAAATATAGAAATACAGACTTTTGGACTTCTGTAACTGGAAAATAAGGTGATATTTTCATGTTTACAATTTTATGAAGGCTTACTGAAATGGCAGCATTATTTC